TACACCTTTCTCAATTTTGAGCCATGCAGTGTGTCCCTGCTCTGTTCTGACGACTGCCTCTTGGTCCAAGTATAGTTTTCACATTAGCACGATCAAGTGTTCTGGGATTCCCATTCTTCTCAGAGTCAGCCACAGTTTGTTATGGTCCACACAGTCAAACGTCCTTGCATAATCAATGAAACACAGATAAACGTTCTCCTGGTATTCCCTGCTTTCAGCTAAGTTACATTTAACATCAACAACAGTATCCCTAGTACCACGACCCCTTCTAAACCCACCTTGTACTTCTGGCAGTTCTTTGCTGATGTGCTGTTCCAGTTGTTTTTGGATCATCTTCAGTAGAATCTTGCTTGCATGTGAAATCAATGATATTTTTCTATAGTTTCCACACTCTGTTGGGTCACCCTTCTTTGGAATGGGATCAAATATAGATCTCTTTCAGTCAGTTGACCAAGTATTTGTTCTCCAGCCTGTGTGATTTATAGTCTCTAAAAACCAGCAGGAAGGTCAGTTCTGACTCAACATCTTACACACACACACACACACACACATCTTACACACACACACACACACACACACACACACACACACACACACTAAGTGATATCCAGGGATGTAGTCCATAGGAAACTGTATTGTCAATCCAAAATTGGTATATTGCTAATGGTTCAAATCTACCAGTTACTTCTTAGAAGAAAGGTTAGCAAATTTATCCTATGTGATTCACAGCTTCAAAAACCTGCAAGAGAATCACCCACATGTCAGTTCTGGCTTGATGGCAATGAGCTTGATATTTTTCTTTTCATTTGATTCATTTATATTGTGAATTACATTAATGAATACAAGTAGAACAGAGTTTAGTTCTGTGACAACTATAATTTGTTGTTGTTGTTATGTGCCGTCGAGTCATTTGCGACTCATAGCGACCCTATGTACAACAGCCCTAAACCCTGCTCTATCCTGTGCCAATTGCATTGCCTCTGATATACCCATCCCAATTACCCCAGTCACTGAATCAATCCACCTCTTAGAGGGTCTTCCCCTCCTACGCTGTCCCTCTACTCTACCCAGCATGATGCCCCTCTCCAAGGACCTGTCTCTCCTTACAACGTGTCCACAGTAGGTCAAACAAAGCCCCAGAATCCTTGCCTCCAAGGAGCAGCCTGGTTTAACCCTCTCTAGGATGGATCTGTTTGTTTTCTTGGCAGTCCGTGGAATATTCAATACTCTTCTCCAACACCACACCCCAAAGGCATCAAATCAATAAAAGTTATCACTGAGCTAAATGAATAAGTCACCTTTGAGTATATAAGGAAAAATGAACACTTGCTAAATAGATAAAGAGTACTGTATATCTCATGGACTTCCAAAAGAACCAACAGATATGTCTCGGAGAAAATAAAGCCACAGTGCTTCTTGGAGGCTAAAATGTTAAGACTTTATCTCACATGCTTTGTGCCTGTTACTAGGAGAGGCTATTCCTTGGAGATGGATGGTAGAGTTCTTAAGGGTTTATTGTTCAAAACAGCTTCCCTAATGATTGTATGAAACACAGCATGAATGAAGGAATGTATCGAGCACAATGAATATAAATTTTATATGCAAACCAATATAAAATATTCTTTTTTTAAAAACCATTTTTAAATCGGGGGTTGGGGAGAAAGGCTTCCTTAGCTGTTGGCTTTGACTTTTCTATATGGAGAGGTAAGATTATGTGACTTTGAATAAGTTTGCTAGAGGATTAAGGGGAGAATCATAATCGAAAACTCAACATGAAGAAAACAAAGATTCTCACCACTGGGCCAATTGGCAGCATCATTATGGATGGTGAAGAGATTGAGATTGTTAACAGTTTTAGCTTACTTGGTTCTACAAGTAATACTCTTGGTACCAGCAGCCAGGAAATCAAGAGATGAATTGCATTGGGAAAGTCACCGGTCAGGGACTTCTCCAGAGTATTAAAGAGCAACGACATTAGTCTGGAGACTAACGTTTGCCTGATCCAGGCCATAGTCTTCACAATGGCTTATTATGCATCAGAGAGCTGGACAAAGACTAGGGATGATAGAAAGATAATTGATGTCTTCAAGTTGTGATGCTGGAGAAGAGTGTTGTATATACCAAGGACTTCTAGGGGAACAAACAACTTCATCCTGGAGAGAAACCTAGCTAGTCCTTGGAGACAAGGATTCTGAAACTTCATCTGACATACTTTGGACGTGTTACAAGGAGGGACCAGTCCTTGGAGAGAATCATCATGTTTGGAAGAGTGTAGGGACAGCACAAGAGAGTAACACCATCAATGAGATGGATCATTTCTGTAACTGGGATAACGTGGGTAGGTGTGTTAGAGATAATAAGGTTGGCACAGGATGATAGAGCAGGGTTCTTGTAGATAGGGTCACTATGAGTAGCAAGTGACTCGATGGCACATAACAACAACAACAAGCTTTGTAACACTGACCTAAAGTTACAAGACTGAAGGCAGAAGTGCCTATGAGCAAATTTCAGAAGCTCTTCTTACGGAATAAGGAGCTCTGGTGGCCTAGTAGCAAGAAGATATTCTGTGATTCCAAAGGCACATGGTACAAGCAATCTCCTTCCCTGTGATTAACTGCCTCTAAAAACCTGCCTCTGCAAACCCACAGGAGGGTCAGCTATGGGTCATCTCCTAGTCAATGGTACAAAACAACAACAACAACATAAATTAGTGACTGCATCTGCTATCAACCTAAATTATAGCCTTTGGACTTCCCTAATATAGTTCTGTGTGGTCTGTGAGTTACTGCAATGGATTTTGGACCCTGTACAGCAGTATGATTGGTGTTAGGATAAGTATAAAGATGTGTAGAAGCATGGAGAACAAGTCTAACCTCTGGAAGTTGGTTTTGTGTTGTTGGTGTTGTTGACATGGACAGTTACACTTAATAGAGTTGTTAAAGGTCAACTATATCTGTCTGCCCAATGTCCTTACTATTTTTGTAAAAACTTAGGGGACTTGGAAGTATAGTATAATGGCTATTTCTTTTTTTTTCTGAGAAAATGGAAAGAAAAGTTGAAGGTACCTTTGGCTTGAGGAAAAGGGAAATGCCCGAGGGCATATGTATATGAATGAGATTATTGCCATGGTCTTTGCAATCACTTGTTATGCATCAGAGAGTTGGACAATGACTAGGGAGGATAGAAGGAGAATTGATGCCTGTGAGCTGTGGTGCTGGAGGATATTAAGGGTAGCATGGGCTGCTAGGAAAACAAACAGATTCATCCTGGAGCAAGGATTCTGAGGTTCCGTGTAACATAAGTTGGACATGTTGTAAGGAGGGACCCGTCCTTGGAGAGGGACATCATGCTTGGGAGGGTGGAGGGACAGTGCAGAAGGGGAAGGCCCTCTATGAGGTGGATTGATTCAGTGACTGGGGTAATCAGGATGGGTGTATCAGAGACAGTGCAATTGGCACAGGACAGAGCATAGTTTAGGGCTGTTCTACATAGGGTCGCTATGAGTCTCGATCAACTCAACAGTGCATAACAATGACAACAACAGGAAATAAAGTTGAAACTGGGAATTGCTTGAAAGATATATATGTTAAAAAAAAGAGAGATGTATGTGTTAATGCTTTTGTTGTTTTAACTTTATGCATAATAATGCACTGGTCTGTTCATTTGCTATATAGAGGTAACTCATGGTTGTCGTGATGCTAGAGACTGTGACACTGCTGTATCAAATGCGATAATGGTTACCCATGGTAGACAGTATTTGGTGGAGCTCCCCAACTAAAACAGACTTCGAAGTCGGAGTAGCATCCACTTCCAAAAGAGCTTGCCTTCAGAAACACTATGGACTTGGAGAAATGGTGAAAGTTATACAAGTGTTCAGGTCTTTCATTGATTGGGTCACTATGAGTCGCCTACGACTCGATGGCACTTAACAACAGTATAACAACAATGTTGTTTTGGTTTCTTCCATATAGTAATGTTAAGGTATATTGTAAAAATGATTATTGGATGTTATAATGTTAGGATATATCACAGATTATGGAAAGTACGTAAGTTCATCATTGACTAGTTAGTCAATAAAACATACTAAAAATTAATATTTTGCCTTGAAAAAAATGTTTGTTGAGAGCAGCAGAGTTTGGTAGTTTGGTAGATGTCATGGGCTTAATCATAGTCTAGAGGAAGCTCCATCCAGTATTTGGAAAAAACTTGCAGGTGAATGGATTTATATACCACCCTTTGACTTTTGATTCAAAGATTTACATTTGGAGATGGCAAGAAGGAAGAGAGTTTCCCTTTGTGGAGCTGGTAAAGCTTAGATATGGTCTTACCCTTGCTGCCTGTGGTTTTTACAGATGGTAAAAGATAGGAATAACCTCAACCAGATGGATTGACACTCTGACTACAGCTATAGGCTCAAGCTGGTTAGAGATTCTAAGAGTGGCACACGGTAGGCCAGGATTCAGATCTGTTGTTCATAGGGTTGCTATGAGTCATGCTCAACTCAATGGCAGCTAACAACAAAAAATTAGGTAAAATATTACTATTACATCTTTACTAGATCACCTCTACCAAAACCACTTTAGAAAAGCACAATTTCATAATATTTACCCATTAATGACAAGAATAAAGAAAGGAGATTTTCCCCCCCTTTTTTTGAAATTACAGCATTGGTATCATGTGGTTAAACAAACTCTGCACTTGTGTGTAAACCATCAAATACATTATTAGTCTTAAGTTTCCCTCCTTAGACATGTTAGTCAAGTAGTCCATTCTAAAAATAAAGTAAATTTGGAGGAAACACACACACACACACACACAGAGTTAAATAATTAAAGTATTAATATCATGCAGATGCCATTTATTTATACACACACACACACACACACACACACACACATATATATATATTAGAGAATTTCAAGGTCATGGTCATGCAGTACTAGGAAACTATAAATGGGCATGGACTACATGGGCAATAGAAATGTGATGTGGATACTTACCTTCAACAACAAAATGCGTAACTATACCAATTGCAATTCCTATGATAGCTACAATTGCCAATGTGAAAAGAGCTAGCCTTATAGGATCCCAAAATTGCTGTCTTCTTTGATATTCTACTCGTCGGTAATCAGGTTCTGAAAATTCAATCGGTCTGTAATAAAAAAAAATCAACAATAAGACAATTTAAAAATCATTACTGTTATACTCTATGTCTATTTCCTGTGTTCTAGAAAAGAATTGATAGTGTTAAATTACAGTAAACTATTTAGACCTTGAAAAGACTCTGAAGTTTGAGCTTGCATCACTTGTCTTGAGTTTTTTTGGTTTTTTTAATGTGTGTGTGTGGGGGGTGCGTGGGTTTTTTTTTTATCATTTATTTAACTACCTAATCACAGTTCAAGTTAGAGTTCTACTGATGTTGAAATTAAAATTAGTTTATCTTTGCACTGTATTTTTGTCTTAGATGTATTAGTGTTTTTGAAGTTGGTTGCAGAAATTACAGGGCATAATTAAGAAAAATGAGTAAAAATCATGTATGTGTCATTTAAATAAGTCAGAGTTCTTAGCATCAAAGTTGCATGAGATTTTCATGAGTTTTAACTAATTAAAATATTTTAATATGTCTACTTTTAAATGACATTAGAAATCTTAGATGTTTTAAAAATAGAACATGACCTCCAAAGAACTGATCATAGGGGAGGGTTTTTTTCCCCCCAGTTATTAGCACTTTTCAGTTAAATTAAAAATTGTGAATTGTACTTAAAAAGATTGCAATTTTAGTCTCCATGAACATCTTTGTTTTTACTTGTCTCTCACTTGTCCCTCTCCTATGTACTTTACTTCCCTTGCCTACAATGCTCTATACCATTTGGCTTCTTTTTCTCTTCCTTAAAATATTACCTTCTAATTAGAATATCTAAGTAAAATGTGGTACTATGGTAACTTAAAAGTGAAACATTTTAAAAAATCTTCATGCTTTGTATTTTATATAATGATATTTACTATCAATTGTAGTTATTAGTAGAGCACTTTTTTTGCCAGTTTGTTGTACTGGGATAACTTATGGGTTACTGTGATGCTGGAAGCTATGACACCAGTGTGTCAAATACCAAAAGGGTCATCCATATGGGGCAGGACTCGGAAGAGCTCTCAAATTAAAGCAGACTAGGAAGCGAAATTGGTCATTTACTTCTGGTAACAGGCCTTTGGAAACCCAATGAAGAATAAAGAAGCAGTAATAGCTATAGAATTGGTGATAAAGTTCATATTGGAAGTCAATAAAAAGTAAAAGAAACAGTTGTAAATATCCCTTAACATTTGGAATGTAGAATGTGCTAAGCACGAATACAGGAGAACCAGTACTTGTCTAAAAGTAAAAATAATGTATGGACATTCTAGGAATTATTGAGATAAGATGGATTGGCATTGGCCACTATAAGTGACACAACTACATGAAATACTATGAATACTACATGAAAAACAGGGGAAGACTGGTGGTGTGCTCATAGTTAAAAAGAGAATTTCAAGTTCTATCAGGAAATATGGTGAATGATAGGGTACTATGCATACACATACAAGGAAGACCTGTTAATACTATTATTCATCTATACACAGCAGCAACTAAAACCAAAGAGGAATATGTTGAGGATTGTTTTTACCAAATTTTGCTTTCTGAAATTGAGAAAACATACATTAATAATAACTGGTGACTGAAATGCAAACGTTGAAAACAATGAAGTAGCAATGGTAGTTGGAGAGTTAGGATTTGGTGACGGAGAAAAGGCCAGAAATAAAATGATAGAATTTTGCAAGTTTAGTGATGTATTCATAGCAAATATCTTTTTTTTAAAAGTGGCTATTCATCTGAACCTCACCTGAGGAATTTAATAGAAATAAGATTGACTATATCTGTGGAAAGAATTGTTGGAGAAACTCAATAACAACAATTAAATCCAGACCAGGTGCTAACTGTGGAATAGGTTGTGTGCAAGTAAGTACACATTGAGCCTGAAGAAAATGGAAAATTAGTCTTCAAGAAGCACAACATAATCTTGTGTCTATGCAACTTGAATTTAAAATCATCTTAAGAATAGGCTGAGGAATTAAATATCAATGATTGAAGACAAGAAGAATTGTGTGGAATGACATCGAAGATATTCACGAAGAGAGCAAAGGGTCATTACAAAGGCGGATCATAAAGGAAAAAAATAAAAATGGATGTTAGAAGAGGCTCTGAAAATGTCACTAGAATGTTGAGAAGCCAAACAAAAGGAATAGTTGCTGAAATAAAAGTTGAACAGAAGCTTTCAAAGGATAGCTGGAGAAGGAAAAGAAAAACATTATAAAGGGGTGTGCAGACGACTGGAATTGCCGAATAAAAAAGAAAGAACTCAGCGTTTCTCTAGCTGAAAAACAAGTTCAAACCTTGAGTAGTGATACTGAAAGATGCTATAAGCAAAATCTTGAATGGTCCAGGAAACACCGAAAGTAGATAGAAAGAATACACAGAGTCACTGTGCCAAAAAGAACTGGCCATCACTGAAATATTTTAGGAGGTACTATATGATCAAGATCAAATAGTAATGCAGGAAGAACTTCAAGTCACACCGAAGGCATTGACAGAAAAATGAAGCCTTAGTAATAGATGGGATGCCAATTGATATGTTTTAGCAAACAGATCCAGACATATTCACCACTCTATGCAAGAAAATTTGTAGGACAGCTGCCTGTCAGGCTATCTGTAAAAGATCTCTGTTTCTTCCCACTCCCAAGAAACATGATCCTACAGAATGTGGAAATTATAGAGGGAGCTCTAGTGGCCTAGTGGCAAAGAAGCTGCACTGCAATCCCAAAGGTACATGATTCGAGGCCACCAGCTGCTCTGGATGGGCAATCTCCTCCCATGAGATTAACTCCTTCTGAAAACCTACCAGAAGGTCAACTATGGGTCAGTTCCTACTTGACAGTATACCACCACCATGACAACATAATTAATATTGCATGCAAGCAATATCTTGCTGTAGATTATTCAAAAATGACCAAAACAGTACATTGACAGAAAACTTCCAGAAGTTCAAGATGGGTTTAGAAAAGGCCCTGGCATCAGACATAGCATCTCTGATGTAAGAAGGACCCTGGATGAAAGGAGAAAAATGAAGGAGAAAAAAAAGAGGATGACAGACACCCAAGCATTGAGGACTCTCCTTCATAGGGTCACTATGAGTTGCCTGCGACTCCACGGCACTTAACAATAAGATCAACATAGAGAGAGGTCAGCTGGCCCAGTGGACACAAGGCCATGCTTCCAAGCTGAAGGTGGGTGACTTTTAATCTGCGGCCCTCAGGCCTTTCATTGTTTTTGTTCATACATTCCTCTAGGTCATATAACCCTGGTGTTCAAGTTGCCGTACAATGGTAACTTGTGGTTACGATGAGGTTGAACACTGTGACACTGATTTGTCAAATGCGTCAATGACTGGTTACCCAATGCGGACAGAGAGTGGGGTGGAACTCCCCAATTAAAACAAGCTTGGAAGGAGGAGTGACAGCCACTTCCATAATAGCTTGCCTCCGGAAACCCTATGAACCTGGAGAGAGGATGAGAGACAACCAAGCATTGAGGACTCTCCTTCATAGGGTGGCTATGAGTCGCCTGAGACTAGACGGCACTTAACAACAACATTTGTGCTTTATGTACTATGCAAAGACATTTGAGTGTGTGGATCAAAACAATTTATAATTAACACGGAGAAGAATGGGAACCCCAGAGCCCTTAATTGTACTCATGTGAAACCTATACCTAGACCAAGGGGTATTTTAAACACTACGTGGTTTAAAATCCAGAAAGGTGTGTGTTCAGGCTTGTATTCTTTCTCCATACCTATGCAATGTGTACAAGGAGCCATTGAACTCTGAAAATGACCGTGGTTATCAGGATTGGAAGAAGACTCATCAACAACCATGTTACTTAGATAACACAATGTTAGTTGCTGAAAATAAGGAATATTTGAAGTGGTTGCTGCAGAAGATCAAAAACTACAGACTTCAATAAGAATTTCATTTCAATATCCTGAAGACAAAATTTCTTACCACTGGACAAATAGACAATGTCATTATAGATGGAGAAAAGACTTAAATTGTAAAAAAGTTTATCTTACTTGGATCCACAATCAACACCCTTAGTACCAATAGTCAGGTGATTAGGAGAAGAATTTTACTGTGAAAGTTTGTAGTCAGGGACCTCTCCAAATTACTGAGGAGCAGAGAATTGATGTTAGTCAGACCATGGTCTTTTTGTACATCAATATTCTGCTACGCATCTGAGAGCTGGATAGTCAATAAGGATTACAAAATAATTGATATCTTTGAATTGTGGTATTGGAAAAGACTATTGAATCATTGCAGAGGTTATAACTCATTAGGGAGGAAATTACTCATCTTTTCTCATAGGGAAACTGGTGGATTCAACTTGCCTGCCTTTGAGTTTTCAGTGCAACTCTTTAGTTACTATACCACCAGAACTCTAAATACATAAAGATTTTACTACACACATGTGCACTTTAAGATGGCCATACATTAAAAAAGAGCTAGAGCTGGACTCAAGTAATCTTTCCTAATGTGTATAGTGCCAAAGTAACTATGTACACAAGAAAAACCAATATGTGAGGAACTATGAGACTCAGAAGATTTTACAGTATTCTAAGAATAATGAAAATCCTACAACCAGAAAAGAATAAAATAGATGAATGAGACCTTATAAGACTCAAATTCTTTTGCACATCAGAAAACTTCCAACAGGATAAGAAGGAAACCCACAGACTGGGAAAAAATATTTAGCAACCACTTATCTCATAAAATACTTATATCTAAAATTTATAGAAAACTCCAGCACCTCCACAAGAAAAATGTAAACAGCTCAATCATAAAAGGGGCACAGGATATGAAGACAATTTACCAAAGAAGACATTCAAATGGCAAACAAATACATGAAGAAATATTCAGAACTCCTAGCTATCAGAGAGATGCAAATCAAAACAACTATGAGATAATCATCTCACCTCAGCAACGTAACAAAGTTGAACAAGACAGCAAACAGGCTGTGAACAGATTAGAACATTTACTCATTGGTGATGGAAATGTAAAATGGCAAAG